TTATCCTTAAAATTGGCCTACTTTGATCATCCAAAAAAAAATCGCAAATCAAGATCGTTTCTTATCCTAGAAGGAGCTCCTTTTTGCTTTTCAATAAAGTCAAGCATGTAACTAATAGAGAGATCATTTTTATCACAATCTAATTCAAACCTAGAAACAATGATGTCAACCAATTCATCGTACGTAACATTCTCGCTTATCTTTATCGGTACTGTCTCTCGGCCCTTCGAACGCCAAGTATAACGAGTAGGATTCTCCACCCATTCACCATGTAAATCAACTCCTATTATTATATGGTCTTCCATAGAGGGAAACAATACCTGGAGACATCACAAGTAAGACATTCATCAAAGAACTGCAAAATTGCAAAAGAACATTGATTACTTGTTTTACATCTATTTAGTTACCTCACAACTATCAACAATTGGCATAAAAGTTTAGTAGCTTTGGAGACTGCTATAATTCTTCAATTATTTATTTCAACAATTAATACTTTGCCCACAATTATATTACTTGTCCTAAAGCTTGTCCTAAAAACTAATTCGTTGACCACCAACTGAACACAACTGTCAAACAACTGCAGTAGTTGTTGGGACAACTTCTATAATCGTCCGATAACTACAGACAGTTGTTGGACAACTTCTATAATCGTCCGATAGCTACAGACTGTTGTTAGACAATTTCTATATCTGATAGAGATTTTTATTTATTTCTACAAACAACTTCAGCAGTTGTCCAGACAACTACGAAAGTTGTTGGCTGAAATAATCAAATTAGATTTAATAAACCTAGCTGAAGAATGGACACAAAGTAATTTTTATACTTATCAATAATGCTCTTTTGAGTTAATTTCAAGATCAAACGGAACCAATGCAATGCAAAAAGTTCAAAAAAATTTGGTATCCATTTTCACAAAATTTTCTTGTTAGATCTTCTCATAAACCACATATATGCTTACAAATTAAGAATGATGAGGATGAAGAAAAAGAAGAAGAAGGGAATTGAGAAGCATACTTCAGCCTCGTTGAAGACTTGGTAGTTGTCCTTCAGGCTCGTTGTTGAAGACGCTGCAGGTGAGAAAAAAGTACCGCCTTTTTTCTTCTCATATATTTTAGTGAAATTTTAGGTATTTTGAGGTAAAAAATATAGGGTAAAAGTGTAAAAGTTAAAAGTTTGGGGCTGTTGAGGAAAGATTTTTTAATTTCCTTAATATTAATTATATATTTGTCACTTCTACCTAATATTTAAAACTTGGAGGACTCCTACCTAATTAACAAACTACTTTGTCACTTTTAATACATTATCCCAGATAGGCCCGTGTTCTTTCTCATGGCAAGTATTTTATAATTTTATTTTTATTTTTATTTTTGACAAATTATGGAAAAATATTGGTGCTTAACTTAGCAGTACAAACTTAACGCAATACAAATTCTCATAAATATTTTGATCGAATTGTAATTAGAATCCACTAAAATTCAAGACCTAAATCAACATACACTTTTTTGGAGTTTCCAAAAGGTAGGCAACAATATCAGTTATTCGCCAAAAAGGAAATAAACTAACCTAACAAGATGTTACATGTTGAATCTCCAATTGGGAAATGATTAAGATTTAAAACAATTAAATTATCGTACGTTTGAATTATTAAATAGTTAAGTGGGTCAAGTCTAGCATTTTTGGATTTTTTCATAAGGAAAAAAAAGAAGGGGACCTCTTATAAAAATGACCCAAATGAACTGTGGAAATAAACAAGATATAAGAAGAGCAATAATTGTTGTTAAATAGGTCCCATTTTTGTTGTCTTAAAAAAAATAAAAATAAAAAAAGGTCCCATTTTGTTAAAGCTGAGAAAGTAGAAAAAGAAAAGAGGTCAAAAGCAAAAAGTTGGGGGTTCCCTAAAAAGGCAAATCCAAACAGTCTGTTAGTTGGGTTTTGTTTGGCTTGAAAGACAAAAAGTTCAATTTCACTCTTCCCTTATTTAATGCGTTTTTGCTTTCTCCGTAGCATTTATTTTTTCAGAATCTTCTTTGGTTGTGATCTTCATATTTATTATTATATTTTTTTAGTAAATAAAAGATGACGGTGTAATGTAATTTCCTGGCATAGTTATTTTAGTAAATTAACAAGAAATTCAAATTGATCACTTTCGACACAAACAAGTAGTAAAATAGCTCAATATGAGTGAAGTTCAACAACAGTATTATTAGCTTCTGGGAATTTGACAAGAAAACATATTTCACATTGCATTTACCAGGAAGATGAGTGAGTGAGGACACGTGAACATCTATCTACATGAACGTCATTTCTAAGGTGAAACTGAATGCAACTTAGAGCTTTACAATCATGTCATGCTTCACAACTTTTGCATAAGTTCAGTCCCAATCAGTGGGAGGTTTTCTTTTTTTGACGAGTTGAAACTAGATAGGAAGATAAGATATATAGTGGCAGACTCAACCATATGCAGTGCAACAAAAGCATAGAAACAAGTAAGTAATGTTTCACATTACTCTGAAATACATAGTAATAGGAACATTTACATTTACTGCACTACCAGAAAAACGGGCAGGAACATAGATGTAAATATTACTACTCTATTACCTATCTCATTGCAGTTGCTGAGCGAGATTCAAATAGAAAACATCCGTTTCTAAGATACACATAATTCCTAGGACACATTCATGGAGGGCAGAGATATATAGAAAACTTCTAAGGGGATGGACGGGGCTATGATAACATGAACCATAATTATCTTAAAACCTGACATGCAAAAGTTGAAAGATATAGATTATCAATCAGATGAAAAAAACAGGAGCAAATTGATATTGCATCTCGACATTGAACTGAACTATTTTGTACTTAGAATGACCTAGCTACCACCATACTTGGTTCGAATTCATAAGTTCGAGGCTTAAACATGATGGTCATGTCAACTCATTGATGATTTCAGAACAAAGTATATACATGAAAACATTACTAGGAATGTGATATAAGCAACCAAACTAGAGCAAAGTAGTAGGGATGTAGAAGCAAGTATTAGATTAACCAACGAGGACCAAGACCAGCAATACCCCATGATGTCTCTTCTTCCTCTTCAGGAGGTATACAAGGAATTCCAAAGATAAGATGGGGAGACCTTGTCAAGCAATGCATCGGTTTATACGTGAACGACATGCCTTGAAGCTGAAGCAAGCAAAATTGAAAGACAGAATCATCAATCAATCACGATATTTTACAGATAAAAAGAGTCAGTTGAGTGTAAACACATACCTCCTCTTCCTCATGTTGATTCATCTGCTCCTTGTTCTTGTTGTGATGTAGATCCTCCATCTCTGATATGAGATCCTGGTTTTCCATCTCACTATCCATTTTCTGCTTCTTGTTGATGTGATGTAGATCGTCCTCCTCTGTTATGAGATCCTGATTTTCCATCTCACTATCCTGCTTTTCCATCTCAGTTACACCCTTAATACAATCCTGCTTCTGATTCTCCGCCTTCATCCCCCAAAGTTCCATTATACGAGTCATTATCCCCAGATCCAGCTTCGTCATTTACCAACCCTCCTTCATCTTTACAGTCGTGATTATACTCTTCCGACGACGAGCGCCAACTATCCGGCGAAGAGATGTATTTTTCAACTTTTGCATGTCGTTGTCCTCTTCGCCGGATAGTTGGCGCAGGAAGAGTATAATCATGACTGTAAAGATGAAGGAGCGTTGGTAAATGACGATGAGGTACGCATGATTATTCCATCGGCGCCTGTAATGACACCTAAGGAAGAACGGGGGCTGGTTTCTGCACCTCCATTCTATCCTTACAAGCACGAACGACTCGATAATGGATTTGTATACCTTATCAAGCAACTGGATGGAAAAAAGGAAAAAGATGGAGCGATAAAGTTGAAGCTGATTGTCAAGGCAGGGTATGCAATTTTTTGTGACTAGCTCTGAACTGATCAAGTGATTTTCAACAAAATTATTTTAGGTTTTTGCGAGACCGATGCTTATGAAATACTAATAGATAGATACATACATATATGCTTTTGTGAGTAGATAAATACATTCAGTTTGTATTTCGTGGCTTTTTCAGGTCCATTTGTGAAAATGAAAGAACAATAGAGTTCTGTTGGGTTGTTCAGCAACTTGTTTTTTCTCATGTTCTTGTTGGGACTAACGTTCATTGGAGTTCTCGGAAGCTTTCTCATGATGACACCACATATGTGTTTTCAGTGAATGTATTTATCTACTCACAAAAGCATATATGTATGTATCTATCTATTAGTATTTCATAAGCATCGGTCTCGCAAAAACCTAAAATAATTTTGTTGAAAATCACTTAATCAGTTCAGAGCTAGAGCTAGTCACAAAAAACATTAACAAAAAATTGCATACCCTGCTTTGACAATCAGCTTCAACTTTATCGCTTCATCTTTTTCCTTTTGTCCATCCAATTGCTTGATAAGGTATACAAATCCATTATCGAGTCGTTCGTGCTTGTAAGGATAGAATGGAGGTGCAGAAACCAGCCCCCGTTCTTCCTTAGGTGTCATTACAGGCGCCGATGGAATAATCATGCGTACCTCATCGTCATTTACCAACGCTCCTTCATCTTTACAGTCATGATTATACTCTTCCTGCGCCAACTATCCGGCGAAGAAGACAACGACATGCAAAAGTTGAAGGTGATTGTGTACACATTAAGGCAATCTCTATGATTTTCTTCACTTCTTGTTCGTTGTATTCACTGACATCTAAAGTTTCATCCACCAGTTTTACATGCATTCCAGCTTCGTGAAATTTCCACGCCTATTTTAACAAAGTGACAAGTGCATTTCGAATAGGAAAGCTTTGTTGGAAGAAAGAACTTAGTGATAATATGAAAAGAAGATGAAATTTGAAAATGAGAACAGACCTGTTCAAGGAGATATTCAGTTTCTTGCATATGATTGCTCCTCCGTCCACTGATTATTTCAAGAACAACAACACCAAAGCCATAGACGTCAACCTTCTCTGTTAGATGTCCATGAATTGCATATTCTGGCGCAGTATATCCCCTGTTTCAATTAGATCTCGTTGATATGTTTGCTGTTCTCATAATGTTTTAACTGATATGAGGAAAGAAACTCGAGCAGTTTGACTTACAAGGTACCAGCAAACTTAGTGCTGACATGACTCTGATCCCCAGGTAAAAGTCTTACAAGCCCAAAATCTGCAATTTTTGGCTGGAATTCATCGTCTAGTAGAATGTTACTGGATTTTATATCTCTATGGATGATGCAGACGTGGAATTGCTCATGCAAGTAGGCAAGGCCACGAGCTGTTCCGATGATCATATCATATCGTTGCTTCCAGTTGAGCATCCCTTGTTTATCACCTGCAAAACCATGAGAGGTAGGATTTGTTTAAATTTTTGTTGAACATAAAGATTTGACTTGACTCGGAGAGAAAATAATAAGCCGGATAGACAAAATCAACCATATAAGTATCTTTCAAGGCTGCCATTTGCCATGTATTCATAAACAAGTACTAGCTCTGCTCCCTTGTTAGAACATCCCAAAAGACGGATGAGATTGCGATGATGGACGTTGCTGATAAGCCTAACTTCAGTATCAAAATCTGCCTTTGCTCTGCTAGATACCATTGCTAGCTTTTTAACAGCAACTACATGTCCATTTTTCAAAGTGCCCTGTTCAATAGCATTAATATCATCCTATGAATTAAATTTGGAGGATAAATGAGTAGGATTCGTCAACTGTTTCAGCGTTACCTACCTTGTATACATCACCAAAACCACCTTCACCGAGTTTATTACTTTCATTGAAATCTTTTGTAGAAATTTTTAGATCCTTGAATCTGTAGTTCACAGGACCTCTCAGCTCTGTTGCTCCCAGTATATTACCTGAACACGAGCTACGATATCAGTTACTACATAAATAATCACAAGGGGACAAGCAAAGGAACTCAAGGACTTATACAATGCTTGTTCTCACTTGCAGAAGGTGATTCTATTGTTTTTTCAGTATAATTATCATCTATTTTTGAATTTGTTTGTGTGTAGCTTTGTTTATTGCTTTCAATTCTATCTTTATCTTGTTTTGTATGTTGGATCATATCAAATTGATAAGGTGATCTTCTAGCTTTTACCTCTTTCTGCTGCCTGTGGTTTTCTTGATAGTCGATACAATAGGAACACTGCCAATACAATCATAAGAAGTCCTACACCTCCAACCACACCCCCGATGATGACTTTCTTCTTGTTTGAACTTCCTGCATAAAGCACCGCCACCAATTTTAACTTCATCTTAAAATGAATGAGGGATAATACATAAACAGACACTCAAACATGGCCACACCTGGCAACTAAGCAGACCAACTTTGAGAGTGCACATCTAGACACATCAACTTGATCTCAACTAACAACTAAACACTGCAACTCGTCAGTCGTCCCCAGTGTGTCTCTGGACACCCGATGCTGGCGTGGAACATAAATTTTGGAGGTGGAACATCTAGAACATAAATGACGATGAGGTACGCATGATTATTCCATCGGCGCCTGTAATGACAGCTAAGGAAGAACGGGGGCTGGTTTCTGCACCTCCATTCTATCCTTACAAGCACGAACGACTCGATAATGGATTTGTATACCTTATCAAGCAACTGGATGGAAAAAAGGAAAAAGATGGAGCGATAAAGTTGAAGCTGATTGTCAAGGCAGGGTATGCAATTTTTTGTGACTAGCTCTGAACTGATCAAGTGATTTTCAACAAAATTATTTTAGGTTTTTGCGAGACCGATGCTATGAAATACTAATAGATAGATACATACATGTATGTTTTTTTTTTTTTTGATTTGCACCGGGTGTCCGAGTCTCTTTGAGCCCCGACTAATCCCGGGGGTGCACAGGCCCTCGGCAAGGAGTTTCCCGCAAGTGCACCACGGTTAATTCAGGTTTTACCCAGTCCGATGGCCCTCAGAAATTGTTTGCACCCAGTGGGTTTCGAACTTGAGACCTTGAAAGGGAGCAAACCCCAAGGCTCAAGTCAATTGCCAGCAGGCCAACCCCTGAGGGTTCATACATGTATGTTTTTGTGAATAGATAAATACATTCAGTTTGTATTTTGTGGCTTTTTCAAGTCCATTTGTGAAAATGAAAGAACAATAGAGTTCTGTGTGGGTTGTTCAGCAACTTGTTTTTTCTCATGTTCTTGTTGGGACTAACGTTCATTGGATTGTGAAACTACTTTCAAGGCGTCCTCCATGTTATTCACTGAAAACACATATGTGGTGTCATCATGAGAAAGCTTCCGAGAACTCCAATGAACGTTAGTCCCAACAAGAACATGAGAAAAACAAGTTGCTGAACAACCCACGCAACACTCTGTTGTTCTTCATTTTCACAAATGGACCTGAAAAAGCCACAAAATACAAACTAAATGTATTTATCTACTCACAAAAGCATACATGTATGTATCTATCTATTAGTATTTCATAAGCATCGGTCTCGCAAAAACCTAAAATAATTTTGTTGAAAATCACTTAATCAGTTCAGAGCTAGAGCTAGTCACAAAAAAACATTAACAAAAAATTGCATACCCTGCCTTGACAATCAGCTTCAACTTTATCGCTTCATCTTTTTCCTTTTGTCCATCCAATTGCTTGATAAGGTATACAAATCCATTATCGAGTCGTTCGTGCTTGTAAGGATAGAATGGAGGTGCAGAAACCAGCTCCCGTCCTTCCTTAGCTATCATTACAGGCGCCGATGGAATAATCATCCGTACCTCATCGTCATTTACCATCGCTCCTTCATCTTTACAGTCGTGATTATACTCTTCCGACAACGAGCGCCAACTATCCGGCAAAGAGAACAACGACATGCAAAAGTTGAAAAATACATCAGTCCCAATCAGTGGGAGGTTTCTTTTTTTGACGAGATTACAAGTTGAAACTAGATAGGAAGACAAGATATAAAGTGGCAGACTCAACCATATGCAGTGCAACAAAAGCATAGAAACAAGTACGTAATGTTTGACATTACTCTGAAATATATAGCAAGGCACGAATTTATAATAGGAACATTTACATTTACTGCACTACCAGAAAAACGGGCAGGAACATAGATGTAAATATTACTACTCTATTACCTATCTCATTGCAGTTGCTGAGCGAGATTCAAATAGAAAACATTCGTTTCTAAGATACACATAATTCCTAAGAAACATTCATGGAGGGCAGAGATATATAGACAACTTCTAAGGGGATGGACGAGGCTATGATAACATGATCAACCATAATTATCTTAAAACCTGACGGAGATAGATATAGATTATCAATCAGATGAAAAAAACAGGAGCAATTGATATTGTATCTCGACATTGAACTGAACTTTTTTGTACCTAGCTACCTCCATACTTGCTTCGAATTCATAAGTTCGAGGCCTAAACATGATGGTCTTGTCAACTCATTGATGATTTCAGAACAAAGCATATACATGAAAACATTACTAGGAATGTGATATAACCAACCAAACTACAGCAAAGTAGTTTATAGTTAACTAGGTTTGGAGAGATATAATAACTAGGGATGTGAGAAGCAAGTATTAGATTAACCAACGAGGACCAAGACCAGCAATACCCCATGATGTCTCTTCTTCCTCTTCCGGAGATAAAGAAGGAATTCCAAGGATAAGATGGGGTGACCTTGTCAAGCAATGCATGGGTTTAAACGTGAACGACATGCCCTGAAGCTGAAAGACAGAATCATCTATCAATCAATCACGATATTTTACAAATAAAAGAATCAGTTGAGTGCAAACACATACCTCCTCCTCCTCTTCCTCCTCCTGTTGATTCATCTTCATCTGCTCCTTGTTCTTGTTGTTGATGTGATGTAGATCCTCCATCTCTGTTATGAGATCCTGGTTCTCCATCTTTCTTTTACCGAAGAAATTGAGACACAAGTAGTAAAATAGCTCAATATGAGAGACGTACAAATTTGAAGTTCAACTTCTGGGAATTTGACAAGAAAACATATTTCACATTGCATTTACCAGGAAGATGAGTGAGTGAGGACACGTGAACATCTATCTACATGAACGTCATTTCTAAGGTGCTAAGAAGTAACTGAATGCAACTTAGAGCTTTACAAGGGCTACAATCACGTGAGCTGGACCATTTTATAATTTGTCATGCTAAGATGCTCACAACTTTTGCATATCAACAAATAAATTCAGTCCCAATCAGTGGAGGGAGCGAGCTCATGTAGTTTTCTTTTTTCACGAGATTACAAGTTGAAACTACATAGGAAGATAGTCTAAACAAGATAGTGGCAGACTTGTATATATGCAGTGCAACAAAAGCATAGAAAGAAGTAAGTAATGTTTGACATTACTCTGAAATATATAGCAAGGCACAAATTTATCACATTACTCCACTACCAGTAAGACGGGCAGGAACATAGATGTAAATATTACTACTCTATTACCTATCTCATTGCAGTTGCTGAGCGAGATTCAAATATAAAACATCCACAAGAACGTTTCTAAGATACACATAATTCCTAGCTAGGAAACATTCATGGAGGGCAGAGATATATAGACAACTTATAAGGGGATGGACGGGGATATGATAACATGAACAATAATTATCTTAAAACCTGATGGAGAAAGATATAGATTATCAATCAGATGAAAAAAACAGGAGCAAATTGATATTGCATCTCGACATTGAACTGAACTTTTTTGTACCTAGCTACGACCATCCTTGGTTCGAATTCATAAGTTTGAGGCCTAAACATGATAGTCTTGTCAACTCATTGATGATTTCAGAACATTACATCCAAAGTATATACATCAAATAAAAACATTACTAGGAATGTGATATAAGCAACCAAACTAGAGCAAAGTAGTAGATAGTTAACTACGTTAGGGATGTGAGAAGCAAGCATTAGATTAACCAACGAGGAGCAATACCCCATGATGTCTCTTCTTCCGAAGGAATTCCAAGGATAAGATGGGGTGACCTTGTCATGGGTTTATACGTGAACGACATGCCCTGAAGCTGAAGAAGCAAAATTGAATCATCAATCAATCATCCATAGACCATATTTTACAAATAAAAAGAGTCAGTTGAGTGCAAACACATACCTCTTCCTCTTCCTCCTCCTGTTGATTCATCTTCATCTTCATCTGCTCCTTGTTCTTGTTGTTGTTGATGTGATGTAGATCGTCCATCTCTGTTATGAGATCCTGGTCTTCCATCTCACAATCCTCCTGCTTTTCCATCTCAGCTACGCCCTTAATGCAATCCTGCTTCTTCATCCCCCAAAGTTCCATTCTACGAGTCATTATCTCCAGATCCAGCAACGTCATCAGCTACCGCACTCTATCATCCATCGCCATAATCCTCTTTTCTTTCATTCTTCAATTTCAATTAGAATTAGGGTTAAATAGCTTCCTTTATCTGTGGCCCGTACCCGTATGTACAATTGATGCCCCGCCCGATTCATTTGCATTCCGCCCCCAAATTTTATTACTTATATAAGTACTACTCTAGATCGATATTCAAAGGCCCGATTACGGGCCCAATATTATAATATTTTGGAGAAAATAAGCAAATACTTCATAAAAGCAAAATAATTATAAATATATACCCCTTTACATTTATACCCCATTAAATAATTACATTATATACCCCATTTACTAATTTCGCTTAATTGATACTAAATCGGTATCATATATACTATATTAGTATCATTAAGACGGATAATTTCGCTGAATTGATACTAAATTAGTATATACATATATTGTATTGGTATCGTTAAGGTTTGTTGTTAAGAAATTACTCATTAGTCAATGATACTATAACCTTAACGATACCATAAAATATATATATACTCTTATAGTATCATTGACTAATGAGTAAATTTCTTAACAACAAACCTTAACGATACCAATACAATATATATATATATATACATATATATTGTATTGGTATCATTAAGGTTTCTTGTTTCAGAAATTACTCATTAGTCAATGATACTGTAAGAGTATATATATATTTTATGGTATCGTTAAGGTTATAGTATCATTGACTAATAAGTAATTTCTGAACAAGAAACCTTAATGATACCAATACATTATATGATACTGATTTAGTATCACTTAAGCGAAAATTATCACACCTAATGAATGGGGGTATGGAGTGTAATTATTTATGAGAGAATGGGTATTTCAGGAATTACTTTGAATTTGGATATGAACTTGTAATTATTTTGAATTTTATGGCTCATTTATGTAGTTTTCCCTAATATTTTATATGGAAAAATTACTTGGATTCATATATTTTAATAAATATTACTGATACTTTTTATTCATTGCCATTTATAGCAATACTATGTTTTATTGTCATTTATAGCAATATTATGTTAAATCTGCAATATGTATTAAAAGTGAATTATGTATGCAATATATATGTATTATATAACTTTTTTTTGTAAGATATTGACACATTGTATTATAAGTGTATTAAAATGTGCGATAAATGTATTATCCATCAATAAAACTTATATTATATGTGAATAATAAATTGTTATTTTTGTAATATGTATTCAAACTGTATTATAAATGTATTAAAAATGATTAAGTGAAAAGAAACTATTAGGGGTCGTTTGGTTACTGTATAAAAGACATCTTATTCATGTATAAAAAGTTGCATTAGATTTACTGTGTTTGGTAGAAGTTTTGTATTAGGTATAAAAGTCAGCATAACTTATACCACGTTTGGTTGGTAAGAATTTAAATGATGTATAAAAGTTATTCATGTATTAATTTATACGGTGTTTGGTTGCATTTTTGTAGTCCTACATAATTAATACCAACATAACTTATGAGGGAATCTATGTATAAAGTTATGCAGGGTAGAAGGTGGAATAAGTTATGTGGGTATTAGTTATACATGTATTAAAATGATAGATTACATATTTACCCTATTATGCATAACTAAACCCTGCATAATTAATACCTGCATAACTAAACCCTGCATAACTAAACCCTGCATAATTAATACCTGCATAACTAAACCCTGCATAACTAAACCCTGCATAATTAATACCTGCATAACTAAACCCTGCATAACTAAACCCTGCATAATTAATACCTGCATAACTAAACCCTGCATAACTAAACCCTGCATAATTAATACCTGCATAACTAAACCCTGCATAACTAAACCCTGCATAATTAATACCTGCATAACTAAACCCTGCATAACTAAACCCTGCATAATTAATACCTGCATAACTAAACCCTGCATAACTAAACCCTGCATAATTAATACCTGCATAACTAAACCCTGCATAACTAAACCCTGCATAATTAATACCTGCATAACTAAACCCTGCATAACTAAACCCTGCATAATTAATACCTGCATAACTAAACCCTGCATAACTAAACCCTGCATAATTAATACCTGCATAACTAAACCCTGCATAACTAATACCTGCATAACTAAACCCTGTATAACTAATACCTGCATAACTCTAACCAGTAACCAAACGGCCCCTTATTGCTATAGATGGTAAATATTTTTTTATTATAGTATATTTATGTAAGTTTCCCTTATTATATTATAGTATAACTTACAAGAATTCCTTACATTTGGGGATTAATTACATCTTATTCCAAAAGTTTCTCCAATTACAAAAATCTCTGATTTTTATTGTTCTCGGATATATTTCTTGATTTTCCGATATATTACACATGATACATTATTTAATGGGAGGGATGTATCCGAGCGGGGAGAGATGTATGCAAGGGGGATAGAGATGTATTTGAGAGGGAATAGAGATGTACTTGAGAGGGGATAAGGATCATTCCAAGAGGAGATTTTTGTAATTTTTAAAATGTTAAGAAATTTGATAGATTATCTTAAGTTGTGTATTTATGTAATTTAATTATATTATATATGTTTTTTTTTTTTTAAAAGTTAATCATGAATATTTTAGCATTGACATTTCTATTGTTATATATATATAAGAGCATGTCATTGAAGGTAAAATGGAAAGCTATAAATCAGTCAAAGAGTTTCTAGTTTGACTTGATACAGAGTTTAAGAAGATAAAAAAGACTTTTGAATTTGTTTAGATTAAAGATATGTATGAAGTACCAAAATGTCATTTAATCTTATGGTTTAAACATGAAAGTTGAAATTAATTTGTTTAGATTAAAGATATGTATGAAGTACCAAAATGTCATTTAATCTTATGGTTTAAACATGAAAGTTGAAATTAAACAGATGCCAAAAAAAAGGAAAAAGAATTATTTTTGTAATAGACGAAAAAGGAAAGTAAAACAAACAAATTGAAACACATAGAGTAATATTTTGCAAGTAATGCTACAAAGAGCAATTTCGAAAAAATTACTATATAAATGTACTACTCTTTCTTGTACTTCCATCTTTTTACTATTTATATGAACATGAGTTTATAAGAACCATTATGGGGCCAACATAATCTCTAGACCTCAACTTGTTTGGGACAGAAGCGTAGTTCAAGTTGTTTGTTACAGCATACTAGCGACCGGTGAAATCACTAAAAGTGTTGGTTGCAGTAGAAGCTGATGATCCTGTAGTCATGGATGCGTCGAATGCTTTACTCTTATCCATGCTAATGATAGTAGGCCTGCTTGGTGTTCTTGATTCTGTGCTACGATCGCTTAATAGCATGACAACAACTTCAGACATGCTTGGCCTAAGATTTGCTGGTGACTGTGTGCACATTAACGCGATCTCTATGATTTTCTTCACTTCTTGTTCATTGTATTCATTGGGGTCTAATGTCTCGTCCACCAGTTTTACAGGCGTTCCAGTTTCGTGAAGCTTCCATGCCTATTTCACCATGTCACAGATAAATGCATTTAGAATGGGGAAACAGAAGTTGGATACTTCAACTATCCGTTTAGCTACCTAAACTATCACTCTTTTTGTATGAAAAACACATCTCGATGTTGAGTTGACTAAATATTTGTTCCCAATCGCCAACAGGCTCATGTAGGCCAACTCAATATTGAGGTATGAAGCTTGCAAAAAGGTGATAGTTTAGATATGTAAATAGAAAGTCGAGGTGTGGAACTCATGAAAATGTGATTGTTTAGATTTGTTTTATCATTAACTCAAAGAAAAATGGTGTATTTGAAAATGAGAATAGACCTGTTCAAGGAGATATTCAGTGACAGGCTCGATTTGCATATCGTTGCTTCTCCGTCCACTGATTATTTCAAGAACGACAACACCAAAGCTATAGACGTCAACTTTCTCTGTTAGATGTCCATGAATTGCATATTCTGGTGCAGTATATCCCCTGTGTCAATTATATCAAATTGAGTTCTTCACATTTTTTGCATAATGCCTTTACTTATATCAGGAAACTCAAGAAGTTCGACTTACAAGGTACCAGCAAACTTAGTGCTAACATGACTTTGATCCTCAGGTAAAAGTCTTACAAGCCCAAAATCAGCAATTTTTGGCTGGAACTCATCGTCTAGTAGAATATTGCTGGATTTTATATCTCGATGGATGATGCAGACGTGGAATTGCTCGTGCAAGTATGCAAGGCCACGAGCTGTGCCAAAGATTATATTGAATCTTTGCTTCCAGTTGAGCATCCCTCGTCTGTCGCCTGCAAAACCATGAGAGGTAAAATGAGTTTTAAGACTTTTCCTTGATTTGACTTGGAGAAATAGTAAGGAGGATAGACAAAAATATCAACCATATAAGTATCTTTCGAGGCTGCCATTTGCCATGTATTCGTAAACAAGTAGTAGGTCTGATGCTTTGTTAGAACATCCCAAGAGACGGATGAGATTGCGATGATGGACATTACTGATAAGACGAACTTCAGTCTCAAAATCTGCTTTCGCTCTGCTTGACATGATTGCTAGTTTTTTAACAGCTACTACATTTCCATTTTTCAAAGTTCCCTGTTCAATAACATTAGAGTCACCAAATGAATAATACATTGAAAATCGAAGATAATCTAGTCCATATGACTAAAATTAGGATCTTCAACTGTTTTCGTGTTACATACCTTGTATACATCACCAAAACCGCCTTCACCAAGTTTATTACTTTCGTTGAAATCTTTGGTAGCAATTTTTAGGTCCTTGAAGCTGTAGCTCACTGGGCCTCTCAGCTCAGTTGCTCCCAGTATATTACCTGAATATGAACTACTATATCAGTTAACAACATGAATAAACGGAAGGACGAAACAGAACTAAAGAAGATTTAGAAATGATCATCCGAATTTGACCTCTCTCAGCTGTCTTTGGCTTTCTTGATAGTCGATACCATAGGAAAACAGCCAATATAATCAAAAGAAGTCCTACACCTCCAGCGACACCCCCTATAATGGCGGCTTTCTTCTTGTTTGAACTTCCTACATAAAGCAACACCACCAATTATAAGTTCGTCTTGAAAAGAAGAG